ATTTACATCTCCTAACAGCCTTCAAGCTGAACTTCTTAAATTAGACACTTATTAAAAAGAGTCTGGTGTGACGTTACCTCAAAGGCATAGTCAGTTTTCCGGACGGTGCAGGGTGCCGCTCTGACACCTGCAGAGATAGAAATCAAGCCATCAGTTACGGATCCACATTGATCAGGATGCACTTGTCTGCCTTTTCAGAGACTCTGATGAATACATGAATGATTTGTAGATGAGTGCAGGTTACCCTGGTGGAAGGTGTTGGAGTGAGCAGGACATCTGCACCTGTTCACACAGAGACACACAGAGCAGAAGTCATGTCACAAATCTGCACATTTAGAGAAGGTTCAGCAGTTGAGTTGTTGCAGTAGCTCCTGAACATCTCATGCACATGAAGCATTTCCTTGTCATTCTTCCTCCAACCTGACAAAGATGGGTTCAGTATTTTAACCCAAACTGCCGATGTCCACTCATGAAAACATCCAAAAAGGAGACCATTAGGTTTTTATGTTAGTGTCACGATGTTTCCACGTCCTATGACTCCACTACAATGTGATTGGTCATTTGCAATGTTGAACCTGGACAAAGATTAGTTTTGTTGATTCAGGAACAACACCAACACAACGATATCAGAGCGAGCATTAGACGTCAAACTGTTAGAAACTGTGCAAAATGTGAGGATGCACTGACAATTTACATGAGAGAATGTGAAAGGGGCTCTAAAAGCATTAGATATTCCAGGTGCAGCTTTACACCTGTACCTGGTCACATATGCTCCCAGAAATCACTCAAATTTCACTTTTTTTTTTTATCGGAAATGTATGGAGTCACATTTGACCACAGGTGACTAAGAGTTTTAATTTAAAAAATCTTTTAGTAAAACATGTTTTTCCACAGGTGAGCCGGATTTTAAAGAACTCTCCTCTGATCCAGAACTTGTGGCCTCCTGAGCTCTTCCCTCAATAAAACTGAACTTTAACCGGAAAACTCAAAAACTCTGTTATCTTTAAGCGGACTCTGGCACACTCTGTCTCCGCCCCTCGAAGGAAACCAGTAACAGTTCTTTTCAGTCTGGATGAATCTATTTCCGGTTCGAATTTAACTTACGCCGCGCGCTCGAGTTGCCTAAGCAGGTGAACGACCCGGTCCCGACCCGCCATGTCCAAGATGTGAATGACCCTCTGCAACGAGCAGCCGACCCCGGTCAACAGGTTGCTTCCGCCTCTGATTTTCACAATAAAGGCCGCTCAGACACATTAGAAGCACGAGGATAGACGTAGAAAACACCCGTTAGGCTGTCATTATTATTATTATTATGACAAAATAATGAAATCAAGGCAATAATTCCTCACATGGTACAAAAAACTTTAACATAAAAATACTGATATGAAAATAAATATAAATTACAATATTTAGATATAATTTACTGTGTACGAGAAAGTAAAATGTTTAATACGTGTATATGCTTCACACATTACATTACATTCACAAATTTACAAATACCCAGTAAGAAATAGATATAAGAAAAAAAATCATGTGCATGGACTGAACATGAGGTATTTGCAGGCCATGTGTATACATATTTTATGTATATCCTGAGGCTTTTAGTTGTTTGCAGTTGAGGAGTACAAAGTGAACTTCATTTACATATTATAAACTGTAGTAGTTACGTGGGCAAGGGATAGGATGTGGGATTGGGCAGAAGACTGTTGCACATGAGGGTGGTACATAGGTGCTGCGGTGTCAGGTTCAGGGGTGCTACAGTCCTAGGGAACAAGTTGTGTTTCAGTCCGTTTGTGTGTGTTTTGGCTAGTTTTTAAAAATGGAAGCAGCGTGAACAAATGGTGTCCTGGGTGTGTACCATCTTCATGGATTCGCCCAGCCCTCTTCACACAAGTGGTGTAAAGATGACCCAGAGATGCCAGCTGTTAGCTGACTATGTTTTGTCCTGTTTCCACAACACGCTGGAGGGCCTTTTTGTCACTTTTGGTGCGACTACCATACTGGACAGTCATGGAGGTTGTTAGGATGCTCTGTAAAGTTGACCTCCAGGAACCTGAAGCTGAAGTGAATGTACGAATATTGGTTTTAATTCTTATCAGCATGCAGCAGCACAGAGGACTTATTTTTAGATACATGTATTAAATCACATTCAGGATATTTTCCCCTTTTCTCTTTTTTAACAATAAATCAAACACAAAGAGTGATGCGTTGTAGTGATGATGTATCAGAACAGGGACTCAAACTAGCAGCCTTCAGCCTCTTCTGTATCTAGGCTTGCTCATTCACACCTATTGTTTCTAGCTGCCCACCATAACATCTCTGTTTACAGTCAGTACTGCATTTTACTCCATTAGCTGCAATTGAGTTGAAGTAACACTTAAACAAGTTTCTCTTCTGATGGACTTTGCTTTGTATCACAAAGTGGCTTGTTATAGTGTCACTACTAGTGAAGTTTTCTACGCAGCTTCACTAGGATGCTCATTCATTAGTGTCCATGGTTGTTGCTGTGGGTGTGAGAGGTCCTGGGTTCAAATACCAGACTCAATCCTGTTACCTATGAATCAGCGCTGGATGAAATGGGACGTTACTTGTCATATTCTCCAGAATCAAAGACACAGCTCTATCCTTCATCTGTCTGGCTTTTAAAAGGTAGAAACTTATGTGGATCAAGTGCTGTTCATCGTCTTTCGCTGTAGGGGTCGCCACAGCTCATCATATGCTTCCTTTCACACTATCATTGGCATCACACCTCTGCGTTGGGGTATGAGTCTCGCTACGGCTGGGTCTCAGGTTCAAATCCCGTACGAGCCCTCGCAATCTTGCGTCAGGGGTTCTTCATGTAGTCTGTTCATGTTATCAAGTTATGTCATGTTATTATGTTGTGTTTAGCACAAATGTGTATGTCCCGTATGTGCACGTCTGTGTGCCCCCAGTACAGGTGCAAATGTGCGGGCGAAATTCCAGTTTTATTTTGCATAAACGAAATGTGCAAAACACAATTTTAAAAATCTGAGCAAACAGAGGTCTCCTGTTTTCCAACGTTTTCAGATGAAATTATGTCGCTCCTAATCAATTAAAAAATATTCAGGCCAGACATAGAGTCCGTCATTCGGAATATTTGTGACACTTTTATTGGATTTGTTACATTTGGTACGGGACTGGCAGCATTGTTTCTGTGGCGCAATCGGTTAGCGCGTTCGACTGTTAAACGAAAGGTTGGTGGTTCGAGCCCACCCAGGGACGGCAGTTTTTGCTAGAAATGTTAGATAGGGATTAAAAGCAAACTTAACAGCTTTGCGATAACACAGATACGTCCTGTTTGGTTGGGATTTAATAGCTGGCACAAAAGTTGTCTAATGTTGTGTTTTCTCTGAGTTCATCTGATTAACTAAGTAAAACTCTTAGATCATCTAATTTAGCTTTCTGTGAGAATACCATGAGTAAGTAACAGATCACTACTAATCACTAATTCAAAGCCACTTTTTGACATAACAGGTTTATCCAGGATTTGATTCTTACAAAGTGAGAATGATACTCCTATAGTCACAAAGGCCTACCATAACTTTCACCTGTCAAAAGAAACGTTTTTAAACAGACAGAAAGTCAAGCATACACAGCGGGTCAGCTGCTCCATTTTCCAATCAAAATGTAAATACATCTTTTTATGTTATACATGATTCATTTATGTAAACAAATAACAATGTGGGAGAAAATCTAATTATGTCAGCCTCTCCGGAGAGAGGAGTATTTATAGGACCAATATCTTCTAATTAAAGTGATTGAAGAAGTTTGGTGATGCACACAGTGTTGTTAACAGATTAGAAACATTCACAGCAGTACACACACGCATACACACACAAATTATTTTTATCAGCATTCAAACACTGCCAACTTAAACCAACACATGGGCGGCTAGAAAATGTGCCAGTCGATGCAGATGCAACAAAGGAAGGTGTAGTACAATCAAAGACGATCTTTGAAGGTGGTGTATAGCAACTATAGGTGCTGGGTTCACTGTCACAATATGTGGATTTCTCATGAATTACCCCCCCATCCCTCCAAGACTTGAGGTACACTAAACACAAAATTCTGTATAATTCTGTCAAGTTAATTCGGAGTGAAAGTTATTGGGACTCCCAACTGTCCAGCAGAGGGCAGCAATATCGCTTCTGCAAGTCCCAGGTGTAATCTGTTTCAAGAACAAACAAGTGTATTAGACTCGCAGTGTGTTATTGAGCTTTCTTAAATTTTAATCATTTGTACTTGTTTTTTTCTAATTAAAGTAAACTTCTTCACTGGAAGCACAAAGATTAATGGGGACTCTTAATATAGTAGTGCTGGTATAATTATTTGTGTTAAGGTTCTAATGTTGGGTTTAGACTTTGATTCTAGACATTGTCGTATGTGTTTTTAGTGTTTGTGTGGCAAAGAACAGTTTATAGGATTGGCTAGCAACAGGCCAATTTGATACTTAAGTTTTCATTCTTAAGTAATGGTCACTCAAAACCATAAAGTTAGTGTAACTTGCCTCTCTTAAGTTGAAGTGAGTTATTTTTTCTTTTGAAGAAGTGAGTTTCCAGTCATCCATCCATCATCTTCTAGTTATCCATAGTTGTACATGGTACATGCCGGGTAAACAGGGTACTCCAGACATCAACACTTTCCAGTTCCTTCTAGAGGATCCCAAGGCATTCCTAGGCTTATGGGTTCTTTATTTACAATGGGATGTTCCAGCTGCATGTCTGGAAATCCTCCTGAACAGAAGGATGAGGAAACTCAACTGTCCCATTAGTAAGATAATGGGAATGAATACAAAGATGTTGAAATATGGATCACAAAAAAAAAGAGTTAAATTTTCCAGCATGCAGATAGTTTTTCCTGTCTTGAGGTCGGCAACATTTGCAGGTGAAATTTATGTCCAGTTAACCCTTGGAGACAAGAGATTTCGTAGTAAATGGTCAATCAGAAATTCATATTTTCTATAGATGTGGATCTGATGTTGTGCTGTATAAAATGCTGCCTTACATAAAAGCTGCGATGATATAGTTTTATTGGAGAAAAACCAGTGATGCTCTTAGGATCATGCAGTTCTTGAACAATCATCACTAAAATCACTGTCTTTAAAATGCGACCATTTGGCAGATTTAAATGCCTAAATCATAGCCATGGGGAAACGACATAATCAGACTTTGTGTAATATGCAAAATTTGCAATATGGTATAGTCTCTGCATGGAAATGGAAAGGTGTCATTACTGTGGTGTGTTGGGACAAAAACCTTGTGGCTTCTCAGTGAAAACATTGATGAACAGCTGAACACTCGGGTTGTTTTTAAGCTTCTCCTCCTCGCTGATATCTGACACTTGTTCTGCTTTAACTCATCTGCTTCCCCTGAAAGCTGAATGCTGTCTCTGCTGCGTCTGCTGCTGCATCATTTCTTTGAATCACTAAGGCCTCAAATCCTACTGAGGAAGAAAGGATAGTAACAGATACCCTGGTTTGGAAAGTGTAAGATCATTAGATTACTTCGATCGTATCTGTCCTAACATCATCTGGTTTCTCTGCAGTGAGTGTAGGATTGTGTAAAGGCAGGAGACTGGACTTCAGTAATGAAAAAATGCAGTTAGAGACTTTCATCTGGAAATGAAGGGGAATTTAACTGCACCAAGTCAGATACTACAATAGCACAAAAATCTTATAAAATTCTCCAAACTGACAAGCATACCACATTCACTGTATTGTAAAGTCAGGATGGCTAACATGGTACGAGAGCTAATCACACATCTGGCTGATAAAGAGCATTGTAGTTTAGTGCATCTATAGTGTAGCTGGTTTAGTTCAGCACTTAAACATGAAACCACAACCTTTGAACCTAATGCAGCAGTGTGGGTTTGATTCCATCATGAGGTCCTTTGTCTTTGTTTTCAGCCAGTTACTTCCAGTTTTAGTTTGATTCTTTGTTGTCTCGTGTGCCTTTTGTTTCAATTCCCCTTGTCATCTTGAATAGTTTCACCTGTCTCATAGTGGAAATACATGAACGTGCGTGTATTCCCTTGTTGTGTCATACTGTGTTCCTACCACGTTAGCTCAGTTAGTGTTTGTTCCCTGCTTGTGTCTTCTGGGTTATTCAATTAAATTCTATTCAATTTAGGGCTGGGCGATATGGCCAAAAATCCATATCGCGATATAATTTGAAGCACGTGCGGTAACGATATATATCACAATATATTCTTTTCTTCTGTGTAACGTATTTTACACACTATAAGGCTCACTTAAAATCCTTTAATTTTCTAAAAAATTGAGAGTGTGCCTTGTGTATGAATTCTGGTTGTGCTTCCTGACCTCAAACCAATTTGGGCGTGCAGAAATCTGTTAAAAATGTTTTAGTACAACTTTGGTAAGCCGCACTGCTTGATGGATTGTCAGAGCATTACGGCTGCCGTAGTGAGGAGCTTCGCGGAGTAATCTGGGTCCAAAACTCCGTC